TTAATTAAAAATGGTCTTTATGTAAAGAATGTTGTAACAAAAATATTGCCTGTACTTGCGGGCTATAAGAACTTGATTCTACGAAGAGTACACATGGATGGAGGGACACCAGCTGCATATGTAGCAGAGGATGACTTTGTTGGGCATCAGTGGGAAGGGAAGGCCCTTGGTCCTGTGAAGGCTTGATGCCCCAGTGTAGGGGAATACCAGGGCAGGGAGGAGGGAGTGGGTGGGTGGGTGAATGAGTACCCTCATAGAAGCAGGGGGAGGGAGGATGGGATAGGAGGATTCCAGAGGGGAAACTGGGAAAGGGGATATCATTTGAAATGTAAATAAATAAAATATCCAATAAAAAAAGAACTTGATTCTAACAATTTTAATTTAATGGTAATTCAGACCCAAATCAATAGATATATATTAAATTATGTATTCTCTTAAACACATGGCAAGCTGACAATTTATTTCCAAAGTTATTAGGAACAAACCAAATATCTATTTTAGGCATAATAGAACATATGTACATGTTCTGAATATAAAAGGAAAGGGGAAGGCAGGGGAAGAGGAGACAGAGGAGGACAAGAAGAGGGAGTGAGGAAACAGAAGAGGAGGATGAGCAGGGAGGGGGAAGAGCAAGAAGGGGCATGCATTCCCCCAAAGAGAAAATAAAACATAAAATTTTACTTCAAATCAAAATTGCAAAGTAGAGCCAAATTATCTATCTGGCTTGGAAGTAAAACAGTTGCTTAGTTTGAGCAGAAGCCTGGGTCTATCACCAAACTCACAACAGGAAAAAATACAAAAAAATATGAATAAATCAAAAGTAGAATTAAGAAAATTATCCTTCAATAACTGAATAGCTGATATAAATTGTATCTCTGTAACTGGGGCTGGGCCAGAGTAAATACAGTCCTCTAGACAGTATTCATTGATTCCAAGGATCGTTCATGCCCAGGATCTAAGCAAAAGGTCAGCTTGGTTTGCTGTCTACTTTTCTGTCCAGCATGTTTCATATTTAATCTTTTATTATTTGTCAGCATTCACAAGTCATTCTTTGCTGCTGGTGTTACAAGGGCATGGAGGGAGATAATGATGACTTAGAATTCTGTCAGTTCTCCTGGGGTTGGCTTTATTAGGCGATCCTGTAGCTTTCTTTATGTTTACTGAGAGCTGGGGTGGGGCAGGGAAGGAGTTTTATAAGTCTATCTTCTGTCGCATATCCTTATTCCAAGCAGCTGTCACCATGAGAGAAAGGAAGTGTGAGCATCTACATTTGACTTTAATTGGGTATCTTAGAAAGTGAAAAGGTCAGTTTGACAAAAGAACAAGGTATATCTGTGAGAAGGACCTGGTCTTGATTTCAAGCAAGAAAGTGAGGGAATCAAACAAGCAGAGGGGATCAAACAAGTTGAAATTCAAATCTAATTCAGTTCATAAGTGGAGGGGAGGCACAGGCAAGAGTGACTTCTTGACAAAAGCAAACAATGTAAGCCAAGTTTCAATTTGCAGTATTGGAGTTTCCCAATAGATGTCCAATGATGAAAGGAATAAATGCTTGTGCAATATTACCATGACAAAGCCAGACCCCTGTAATCTAGCAGAGACACATGTAATTACTGTGTTTGGTCACCAGATGGCAGCAGTTATACATGCAGATGCATATCAACATTTATTAATAATATTAATGATAAGTTTTCAAAGGTGTTCCTATAAAAAGGTTGGACTTTGTGATTTGGCAAATTTATACTATTTTAGTTAGCATTCCTTCTTTAGTTAGTATCTTTCTTGTAATTTTATGATTTTCCTATTTCCACTGGTCACTCTGCTACAGTTGTATCTCTTTTATGAAAGAAACTTCAAAACAAAGATACTTCGCACACACACACACACCAAACACACACAAAATCACAATTTGATTTATATAAAGGTGAATGTTAAATAAAATGTGAAAAGATTGTCACCTGGGCATCCACTGGTGTGATCAGAGGCCACTGTGAGGTCACAGCTTTCCTTCTTCGTTCCTTCCTTCGTTCCTTCCTTTCTTCCTTCCTTCCTTCCTTCCTTCTTTTTTTTTCAGAAAATGGGTTTTCAATGACACTTTCTGGGTTTTAGTCTATGATGGCCTCTTGCCAGTCTATAAATGCCCATAGCTGGTTCTGTCAGTGGTTTTTGATTTACAGATGAAATGCTTCATGAGGCTTAACATAGCAACACAAATATTTAAATTGCCCCCACATTTTACAACCTTAATTGCTGTATTTTATATAAAAGGCACACAATGAATATTGTTATTGAAAAAATTAGATGCACCCAGCGGACTTGGGATCGCTGAGAGCAAAACATGGAACATACTGAGAAATCAAAAGTGTACACTGAGAAAGGTAGGAAATCTTTAAACAGCAACATCTTCCATTCGTAAAGACCAGAAATAAGCAGAGAGCAGGAGTAGGTTTCATCCTTGGGAAACTGGATTCTCAGTATTATGTTCAGAGTAATAAATATGGGTTTTAAATGAATAATACAGTTTTAGTAGCAAAAGAGTAACTTAAGAGGACTCGAAATACTATGAAAATATTACCATATGTTACAATCGACTTTTGTTGTTTCTTTGTTTCTTAACAGTATGCTTGTCTGGTGTTCCTAAAGTGTTTCTATAATGGTCAACCTTTATAATGAGACTTTGTTTATTAGCCAGATAAAATATACTTCTGTGAGAGAAGTTCAAAGCCCCAGCTGTGTGGATTAGTGGGTCTGCATTGCCCATTCTGAGCTTCCTGACAGGCATATATAAACCTACAGGTTCTCTCAATTTGAAATACTCAACAACAACAACAACAAAATGCACTATGTTTCTAACAAATAGTAGGAAATGATTCAGTAAGGTAAACACAACTGTCAATATTTATATCTTAATTAAGAGCTGACATCTGAAGGTAACCTGAAGCATATTAAATAATGGATAGTGTTTGCAGCCAGTTGTACTGTGTCTGTACTGTGTACTTATTCCTAGGTTACCCTTCTCACTGATAGCCCCTGTCCCTTCAGCAGGAAAGGTGAGAGTTGCTAGGGACTGAGCTATTTCTTTAATCAGGGTAAAGTTTCCACAAATGCTTCTAAGCAATGATTAAGTAATAAAAAGTTAAGCTTATTTTGATAAGTAATATTGTTTTTTCAGCCTTCAGCCTGATTTTATCTGAAACTTTGACAGTTTTTGTAAATATGTGCTGATAAACCTGATACTAAAAGAAACATTAAGAAATGCTATTATAGCTGATAGTAAAATTCCAGAATGTGAGATTGATACAAACATGACAACATAGTTTGTAATAGCTTTAACAGTGTAACATTATTTGTGAGTGTCCATGTGCATTCCACAAAATAGGAAACTTTAGAAAATTTTGACAAATGCAATTTATATCATTAGTTATTTCAAATTGAAAAAAAAAACAACATATTGATTAGAGACTAGCAAGGTATTAAAAACTAACTGAATGATAAGAAAAGATTAGAGCCTTTTGGAAGAATGTAATACTGCATAGTGGACAAAAATAATATTTATTGAATTGAAACAAGAAGTTAAATTTTAAATAACTATTGTGAGAATTAATAGGTTTTTAAAGATTTCATTTCTTTGTTTTGTTTCTGAAATTTGTGTTCTTTTTATTAAGTGTGTGTGTGTGTGTGTGTGTGTGTGTGTGTGTGTGTGTGTGTAAGATATGTGCTGGCTTCTTGGGTGCGACTGCACATGTATGGAGCTCAGTGTACAAATCTATGTAGGTGGTTCCCTCCTTCCTCCTTTACATGGACTTCAAAGCCGTGACTCAGGTCGTCAAGCTTGCATAATTAGCACTTTTACCCAATAAGAGACCGTCTTGCTTGTCCAAGAACTCATTTTGGAAGCAGAAACTTTAAATCATTCCTTAAACCCCTGAATATTTAACCATTTGCTGTTTCACTACCAAGAGGAGTAAAAGTATTTAATAATGTTGAGTACTTCTACTGGTCTATGTTATACATTGAAGCTGTCCAAGAATTATGCTATTTAACATGAAAACCATAAGGCAGATGTTATTGGTGTCAGTTAATAGAAGAAGCAGGAGAATGCAAACATGGCTGAAGTTGCTCAGGTTATAAGAGAGGAGACCTAGACCAGAAGTTGAAGCATCCATTTGAAGATGGACTACATCCCATTAACTTGATGGAAGGGTTTTGTATCTTTTATCACCAAATCAAAAGACTAGTAACCTAATAGTAACCTAAGGGAAGTTCTGGATGACTATTCTATGTATTATATAAATATATCTTTTATATATTATCAAATATATCTTAGTGAAACTCTCATTGATCTTTGCCAACCAATATCAATAATCATTATTTAATTGATTATTAGGAATTTCAAAAGTACCAGTTCATTTTCTAAGCAGGTAGGAAGTGGATCAAATCACTGAACTGGAAACCTAACATTCTGATGAGCCAATAGAAGAGTAAAACAGTTGTGCACAAAGTGAATAGTACACAGAGAGCACAATATCAAAAGTTACAGCATGGAGACAAAGATTAGCTATGGAACTGGTTGCTTGAGATTTCACTTAGGACTCTTAGGAGACTAAGCCTAATACAAATAAAGAGACTTAGTGGTTCTTTGGGAAGAAAGACTAATTAAAAGCTAGGACTGTTTTTAAAAGTTATGAGCTGTCACGAACAACTCATTCAAAGTTGGGCTTAATGACACACCAATATGCTCTTGCTACCACTGTCTCTTTCCAAATCAGAGCTGGCTCTAGATGGCATTAGCTAATTAGCAGTAGGTTTACCTAGTTGGTGTTTTCACTGATTTCTAAATAAACCATATATTGCAAAATGATTCTGGGGCCTTTATGAATTGCATATTAGAAAGGCAACCTGTTTAGTCACTTTTGACTTGTAGGTTTTATGAATAGCTTTTAGTTTTTCTAATTCATTTACTTGTTTTTGTTTGTCTGTTTCTATTTTGTGGACACTAGGACTCTTGGGAAAGATAAAGTGTTACCTCTCAAAGAGACCACTGCCATCTCCCACTGACCGGAAGAAGTTTGATCATGACTTTGCCAATTCTACTTCCTTTCATGGGATACATAATATTACCCAGAACCAGAACAAGGTTCGAAAGGTAATCTGGCTGTCTGTGGTGCTGGGCTCTGTCTCACTGTTGGTGTGGCAAATCTACAGTCGCTTGCTCAATTACTTCACGTGGCCAACGACAACGTCTATAGAAGTTCAGTATGTGGAAAAAATTGAGTTCCCAGCTGTGACATTCTGTAACTTGAACAGGTATGAATCATTACTGTTTCAATCATGATTAAAAACATTAATTTAAGAATAAATTTACTTAGATGATTAACATAAGTTTTTCTGATGTAATATTTAAGAACTGGTATCTTTAAATTAGACTTAAAGTACAAAGATAAGAAAGTAGAGAAGCTTGCTAATTTTTTTCATTCATCTATTAATTTCCCTTTCCCTCGTCCCCTTGTACAGTAATATGCTAGGTAAGTCCTAAGCTCAAGGGTTAAGTAGATGTCAAATAATCTGGTTTCCTGAACTGATATGTGCAAATAAGAGAGTATCCATAAGTAAGTGAATAATTATTAAATCCAGTATATAAATAAATACTCAATACTAAATATTCAAGCTCTCTATGTACAGTGGAGGAGATGGGGAAGAACTAGCGAGTGAACTAATGCACAACACATGAGAAATGAGATTTGGTTGTTCATATGATGGGATGTCTGTTGTGGTAGAGGCAGGCTAGCTAGAGACCCAAAGCTCTGTATTATGGTCTGTTGCCTTAGGGCTCTGATCTCGGAAGAACATTACACTCAGCTGAGTTCTCATTGCTTCTCCCAAGCTCTGGACTGCAGTCCACTGCAGTAGAAAGTTTTAGTCACTGTACCAGGCCAGCAGTGAGAAGGACATCTTCCTCCCATGAGGTCTTCACAACAAAGCCTTGGGACTGTCCATCATGAGGCTTGAAATCTCATATGTAGGAATTTTACAGGATGGAGATGCCCTTTAAGACTCATAGATTATTAATGACAGATAACCATGGGTAGATCCCTTCATATATATTCACACACACATAAACATGTTCAGCATATGTGTGTGCAGCAAGAGAGAGAAGGGCATAGTTCTACTATCTATGTATCTATTTATATATAATATATTCATCCATTTTATGTATTTTCTGTGACATCAGTTCATGTAATATAGTTTGCTTTGTTTCTGTGGTAATTCTAGAACGAGTATTGAATACATTGTACCTGTTCTAAGAGGTTTGTGTGACTCTAGTCCTTCAAAGCTTTAATTTATGCATTAAGGTGTCAGAAGACAAAGATAAGTCAATCTCACAAAAGAAAAGATCTTCAGTATTCATTGCCTCCCACTATTCCATTGGCATGCATGCTGACAAAGGCAAGGCTTGCTTGCAGGTACACTTTATTGAAGGAAGCTGATACACTGGAAAGACCATGTGAGGGGATCCATAGTCACTGTTCCCAGGGACTCAACTGTAACTAGTAGGCAAAAATACTTTCAGAAACTGAATTATTAAACTATTTTTCTAAAGGAAATACAGCCAAGGAAGACTTGATCCATCAGGAATGTTTTTCATTCTGAAATGAATGTCAGCACCAACTGTGATGCTCTGTACAACTTAGACAAGTTTCCTCCTTTTCCATACTTTTTTTCTCTCAGCATGACAAAAGCTGCCCTCCTGGTGTTTTAGGGCAAGAAAACCAAAGCTTCCTATGCCTCATCTCCAAGCCAGGGCTTTCCATGTGTCCTGGGACATTTGGGTTGACAACATGTTATCTACAGCAAGGTCCATGTGGCAGAGGCTAAGTTTTAGATGAGTGTAACCTAGAATCTGGGAATATCATCAATAGCTTTGATTGCCCTGTGTCAGGTGAAAGAAAGATGTCAGAAGCTCTGCTTTCAACACTCTCTTGTGTTGAACTAATCAGTATGAAATTGACAGTTGATATAAGAAAATAATGCTCAAATACTTAAGGTATCTGCAAAAGGTTCAAAATTTTTTAGTAAGTCTCTGAAGACCAGGGTTGTGTGGAGATTAGAATGCAAATCACAAACTGTCCCTATCCTGAGCTGGCTGACACAATTCTTTTCACTAATAACCAAATTATAAAAGAGAAAATTATGAGTGTGTAAAAATGTTGAAAACAAAAAAGAAAGAATAAAAATTTAAGAAAAAAGTAATAATACCATTATTATTATTATTATTGCTATTATTATTATATTTTTAGAAAAGGACTAGATTCTTATCAATTACAGTATTTAATAGTAATATTGCATTTCTGTTTAAACAGTAATACAAAGTTGTCAATGACTTCATCAATATCAGCCTCTCAGTCCATTAGTGTCTGGTATACTCAGTATCACATTCAAAATAGTCTTCATATATTAAACCTAGTAGATACCGTTGGAGTTGTCAATCTGCTTCACTTATAAATTATTACAAATATCCATTAATTTAAAATTCCAAGTCTAGCCCTGTGGATGGAAGACAAGAATTCTTTCTCCTATACACCAAGCCACTAGCAACATTTTTTAAGAATATTTTAAAGTGTTTATTAAAGTTGAAAATAAACTCAGTGCACAACATTACATTTTACATGAACTTTATTTCTCTTTTTCTAATACTACTAAGCTTTATTTACATCATTTAACGTGATAAAATACCAGTGTAATCCCAAACTTCATTAGTGTAACAAATATAGTTTAAGAAAATGTTTTAAATGAAAGGCTTCCTTAATAATTTTATTAATTACATTTCTAACACTCACAGGAAGGCTAATTTTAAATTTTGGAGGACTAATTCATTTAATTTTAAGATGACTAAGGAAATGAATCCTGGGAGAGGCATTGTCTTTATAGAGTATCAAAAGTTGAAGAGTGGCCATTGATTCAGGGTAAAAATTATACCTCTCACCAAACTCAGTTACTAACTCCTAAAAAATAGTTTCCAGATATTATCTTGACCAATGTAATGGAGGCTTTGAGGCACTGTGAAATAATAACTGTCAGAAGTGTCTCAGAGTGGATCCTTGCAGAGTCAGGATGGAGGCTTCTATGAGAGGACCAGAGATGCTGGAGTAAGACATACAAGTATACTAGGTATTGACCATGAAGACCACTGTATCTTTTAGCATGTTTGTAGTTGTCACATAATATTGGCTTAGCAATTTTTGTTTGTTTGTTTTGCATCTGTTTCACATTCATTGGGGAAAGATGGAATATGGCTTATACTAGAAAGAAAATATTTAAAACAAAAACCATTTTATAAAGAAAGATGAGTTGACTCAGTAGGTTTAACACATACACACACACACACACCACAAACACACAGCAATAATAAGTAAAGAAAAGATTGTAAATTTGGGAGGTAGACACAGGAAGAGTTGGAAGATGAGCAAATATGGTCAGAGTGATACATAGAGATAGCAGGTGTATGAACTTCTTAAAAGGTTACAATTAAATAAATACATAAATGCAATGAAAATAAAGACTAAGACTTAAATAATAATATAGCATAATTATTGTCACCACCAGGATAATATCTGTAGATATAAAAACTTGGGAAAAATATAAAAAGTTTTAATCATGTTCACTGGGACTTTCTGATAATCATTTTGTAAGTACCTCAACAGAAACTATTAATTAAATAAACAACTTCCCTTTTTAAAGGAAAAATAAATGAATATAAAATCTAGGTCAGGACCACCATGAGCTATCAACTCCCTCCATGCGAGAATGACTATTTCCAAAAACACACTGTTAATGAACATCTATGAGTCTGCGGGAGAAGGGTAAACCTTATACACTGTTGGGAGTTAAATTCTTACAACTATGTGAAAGTAGGACTGCACTTACTCAAAAACCTAAATACAGAACTCAACTTCCAGAAAGCAACTACTGGACACTTATTTAAAGAAAAGAAAGTTAATATTTGCATGCAACTATGTACATGCCAACAATGACAACAGCACCATTTAGTGATCAACAGACAGGAATGACCCAAAAGGCTATCAGCTGATGATTGGATAACAAAGCTGTAGCACACATGCACAATATGTATTCTTATCTATTAAGCATTAAAATTGAAAATCTTTTGTCTGTATCAAGGATAGGTTTGGAGAGTGTTATGCTAAACCATGTAACCCTTGTATGTTCAACTTTCATAAACACTACACAGCATATTCATAACTTATCCCCATAATGAATATCTAATTTTTGCCTTTATAGATCAGTTAAGCCAAATTTAATAGTTGTACAAAGAAATAAATGACAAAGTCTAGAATATAAAAATATTCTAGAATAACATGCAAACTATGTACTGCATGGCATGGAACCCTACCAAGAATGGACCACACATTTCACTCTGTACTGCCAAAGAGAAGAGAGGAAAGCTGCTTACATCAGGGTTTATAGGATAAAGATATGAAACCATTACTGTCATTTTGAGGAATGCAAAGAATAAGGGATGCAAATAAAATCTAAACACAATGCACAGTGGAAATTGTTTTAACAAATATAACCCTTTACTGATGTAGTTTTGTCTTGTTTCTAGAAAATTACATTTTATCAATGTAACCAATGCCTTCATTTCTTCTAATAGATTCCAAACAGAAGCAGTATCCAGATTTGGCATCATTTTCTTCTTATGGGACATAGTCTCCAAAGTCCTCCGCCTTCAGGAAATGAGTGGCAACAACACTGGCTCTCCAGAGACTTTAGATTTTGTTACAAGACACCAAAACTTCAGCATTACACAGTTTGTCAAGAAGAACGGTTTTTATCTCAATCATGACACTCTGGTGCACTGTGAGTTCTTTGGAAAAACATGTGGTCCAAAGGTAATGGTTGAACATTTCTCCAACTATAGTCAAAATAGTAGACTATCGCTTTGTTCTGTTTTATGATCAATAAAACTAATCCATTGAGAAATCAACCTAAGTTTATGTAAGTACATTTTATTAGCTCTGCTAACTCCTGCCTTATAATGTCAAAAGATATGACATTCATGTGACATACATTTCTTCTCTCAAGAAGTTATAAGGAGCAGGAGAGATGTCTGTGGGGAAAGAGCATTACTTGCTGTACAGGCATGGTGATGTGAATTTAGATCAAGGACCCTTACAAAAATATCTAGTGATCTGTATGCATACCTATAATTTCAGCACTGTGGATAGCAAAGACTAGACTTTTGTCTGGGCTGAATACTAGCCAAGCTCCAAGACATAAGGTGGAAGTGACAGATCAGGGGACTCAAGAGTTTTTCTTTGGCATCACACATGTATAAATCATACACAGTCACAAACACACATCTCACACACACACACAGAGTGGGGAGGGGAGGAACAGGTTAGAAAAAATGATAGATGACAAAGGTTTTGAAAACCTTTATGAACCATAGATTTTTAAATAAAACAGCTTAACAACAATAGAATACTTTGAGTTTTTCCTCATCCTTCAACAACATATTTGAGGAAAACGCTTCTGTCCATCTTAAGCAGCTATCACACTGTATTTAAGTTAGTAGCACTTTCTGAGAATACACAGAAAATGATCCTTCCAGCTTTCAACTAAGAATTATATGTCACATGCATGAGACATTGAATGAACTTTATATGAACATGTAACATCTAAAATTGTTTCAATTCCTTACACAAATAGTCTAGGATAAAATACAACATGACTGGATTCTGGTCACTTATTTCATACATCTCAATGTCTCCATACTATGAGATAGATTCAAAATTAATATCAACTTCATTCTTTTATGATATAATAACAAATACATAAAAGAAATCCCCAAGAGAGACTTCATAGGGATGAAAATAAACAGCAGAGATGCCTGGACCTCTGACCTAATCGGGCTCCTCCTCATTTTGTATTCACTAATACAGAAACCCGACTCTAGTAATCTGTGAAGTCAAATATGTTAGTTGGTTTGATTAACTAGGTAATCTAAAAACAGAACCGGCTTTACAAAATGAGCCCACTTTACATCTCCTAACTTTGCCTGCCTATTTTTGGTATGCTTTCTTCACACAGAGAGCCAAAGCCTCACCCACCAATACTTTTCTCACAGTGACACATTAGCACTCAAGAATCCAGGTGATAATTCAATGGCAGTCTCATCATTGTTTTTAAACCAGCTGCAGAGGATAGAGGTTGGGGTATGCACATCATCTGAACTTTTATAACATGCATATCTCTGAGAATGGAGTGGATGGTCAAAAGAGGTCAATTGGAAGCAAAATATAACTTCTCCCCAGGGAACACGAGGAGGAAGCGGTGATTGCTCAAAAGATGGGTGCAGAAGCCACTCATCAAAGACTAACATCAAGTTTCTGTGAATCATCAGTAAAAAAAGAGAAACAAATCATTTTAAATTGGAAAAAAAAGCTTAATCGTATGTGAAAATGTATCACTTAAAATAACATGTAAATTGACATAAATGTTCATTATACAAGTGAAAACTGTTGATCAAATACGTCCAAATGTTGCCAAACTATCAAATCTTACTAATACAGGCATCCTCATATAAACATTTGCAACTATAAAAATGATAGAGTAATTGGAATTTGGGGACATTGAGGAATTCCCTACTGATTGTGCTCTATTTGGTTTGTTTTTGTATTGGAGGATTTCAAACACGTCTTTACTGAATATGGGAATTGCTTCACTTTTAACCACGGTGAGAATGTACAAAGCAAGAATAAAGTGAGTGTGTCCGGAAGAGGCTTAAAGCTGCTTCTTGATGTCCATCAGGTATCCACTTCTCTTTATCTTAGTCTGTGTGGAAAAGCAGCAAGAAAGAGCACAGGGTTCCATTTTTACTAAGAGTATTTCGCTCTGTCAAATAGCTTCTACCAGTTGAGTTTATCTCACCCCTTGACAATTTATTTGAATGCCCCATGGATTGTGAATTTCTCTTAAGTTTCAGGCTTTACACTTTCAGTGTTCTACTCACTTCTATTATCATGATTCCAGGGATTGCTAGTGCAGCAGAATAAAGAAATGACAAGTTCTATCACACCATGTACACAGATAATGACACTGTAAAAACCTAATTGTAGTAGGATTTTCATCTGAACACTGAAACATTGAAGTATCTTTCGAGAAGAACTCTGTGTATAGTTTATTAGTCATAGAGTTCTTCTCTAAAAAGAAAAAAAAACATACTCAGTAAGAATAGTACATGAATGTACTTTACTTACCCCTCATTGTTTGTTTGTTTTTGCTTGGTGATTAATGTTAGTAACTGGCCTAGGAAGTTACTTTTGACTTGGGACTCAGGTATCCCAACATCTAAGAATTGCATTGCATTTATTGCAAAGGTGCTAGATGACTAGCTCCCATCCCTGCCCTATGATACCAAGGCTTTATAGAGCCTGATTTCTGCCATGCTGGTATACGAAGTATTCAAAGACAAACAGTGAATGGCAGAGAGCAATGATCACTTCATATTGAATCATAGCAAATTACTGTATTCCCATAAACGTTAATAAAGGCGTGGCTGCTTTTGAAGAACTTCTGTTAGTATATTTACAACTTTCTCCTGTGTCCCACTCAAAATAATTATATTCATGCCCAAATACAACCCTGAACTCGGCAAATATTTGACCCATATTTAAAGTATTTAGATAATAGCCCTAATGTTAGTTTAAACATTAATGATGAATCTTAATTAGGATATAAACCCAAAATAATTATATAATACAATTGAAACCTACAAATGTAATGTAATACTCCATACATAAATGGCACATAGCTATTTCTCTAAATTAACCCTGTCAATGCTTCTTAGAGGGTTTAAAAATGTCCAGTTAAAAAAATGGGCTTCTGAATTACAGGAATCTGAAGCATGTTCCTCAAGGATGATTACACAACAGTGGAATGATTCACTGCAGAATCCCTCATAGGCACACACTCACCTTCTCCTTATAAACTGAAAGTACTACATCACCAGCAATTTACCTGTATCTTTACCTGATATAGAATTATATATTTAAAAAACAAAAGGTATTGTTGGGGGGCTGGAGACATGGCTCAGCGGTTAAGAGCACTGGCTGCTCTTCCAGAGGTCCTGAGTTCAATTCCCAGCAACCACCTGATGGCTCACAACCGTCTGTAATGCAATCCAATGCCCTCTTCTGGTGTGTCTGAAGACAATGTCAATGTACTCACATATATAAAAAATAAATAATTCTTTAAAAAAATCCTACTCTAAAAAAAAAAAAGGTATTGTTGGGCTAGAGAGATGGCTTAGTGGTTAAAAGCACTGACTGCTTCTTCCAGAGATCCTGAGTTCAATTCCCAGCAACCACATGGTGGCTCACAGCCATCTGTAATGAGTTTTGATGCCCTCTACTGGTGTGTTTGAAGACAGCTACAGTGCACTCATATGCATAAAATAAAAACTATGTTTAAAAAATAGTGGTAATTTTAACAATCATTGAAGAACACATTTGAATCTTAAATAAAGTCTGGCCTATAATTATGATTCTCTAATGCAGTCATAACAAAACAGAATAGGCAAGTAGGAATTTCTGAAAGGTACTTGGGAGATGAGAAGGACAGAGGAAGGGAGGTCATCAGAAGAAACGAATGTGGATTCAGTCAGGAGCAACTGACAAAGGTGTACTTGTACACTCACTCAGAAACAGAAACCTGTATGATCCAGCCTGAAAAGGCATGTTTTAGATATCAAATTTCCACATCTCACACACAATAGATTTGAAACCTAATATGATATAACTAACTTCAGGGAATTCAATACAGTATGAATTGATAAAATCACATGTGTTCACTTCAGGAGGAATTCACTGACAATCCAGTCCCTGGTTTTGCCGATGTTGGAGTCATCTTTGTTATTCACTCACCCAAGAAGGAACCACAGTTTGATGGCTTAGGTTTGTCTTCTCCTGTGGGGATGCATGCACGGGTGACCATCCGCCAACTGAAGGTAAGAAATTGGGAGATGTGGAGGCAGAGGGAATTAGCTGGTGATGAAATGCATTAAACACACAAATAACCTTTCTTTTGAGAGATACTTTTCACCTGTGCTTTTAACCATGACAGGACAGACCAACATTCCATTTCAGATTCCTTTCCTTTATCTGCAGGCTCCTAGGTAGTATAAGGTAGTATATTTCTGTGTGCAACCCAAGTTAACCTATTAAAAAAATCCAGCAAAACCCTAATAAATCCAAGGTTACTTCAGATTTTATTAAGATCAGGACCCAAAGTAAGCTTTAGAATTGAATGCTTCCTCTGGGAAATTGCCTAAAAATCTAAAGTGGAAGAGAAGCAGTCGTGGACACTAGCCAGCCCTTGTGGCAGTCTTCCACATGACAGCCTGGCTCAGGAAATTCACTAATTAGCTTTCTGAATTTGCATCCACTCCCTTGTTCTCTTGGCGTGTGAACAGCTTTTCCTTTCCAGAGTTAGAAAGTTTAAGTGAAGTAACATAAAAAGGGCCCTTACTTTCTGCATATTAGATGACAGTTGCTCAGTAAAGGACCAGTTTCTGTCATATTGGTTTGTGAGCACCCTGAGTACTATGAAGACAGAATATTCGCATAAATGTTTTTTGTTCTTATGTGAATTAAGTTTTCGAATGTTTGGCCTATCTGATAATTTCATTAACATTTAGCTTAAATATTTAATGGCTTCTATTGATAGTGGCCTTCTGGGACTTTCAAGATAGAAGTGTGTGAACAAATAGGTAAATTTGGTGTATTGAAAAAAATAAAAAAAGAACCGTGAGGTCAGTAAATGTGTACATCATATATGGATCAACAGAGGTCAGTCCCCTAACAAGCATCTGTTCTGTCTTCAGACAGTCCACCAGGAGTACCCATGGGGAGAATGCAATCCTGATATAAAGTTGAGGAACTTCACCACCTACAGCACTTATGGTTGTTTGAAGGAGTGTAAAGCCCAGCACATACAAAGGCTGTGTGGATGTTTGCCCTTTCTTCTTCCAGGTAGTGGAGACTGATGAGTTCCCCCCATGCTGCTTAATTTGAAGAGTAGGAAGTTAGTGTGTCCTTGAGTTGTTTTCCATTCCCATATTACCTCAGTTGGTACATCTGAAAGCACGAGAACCTCACAGAGATTTCCAGAAGAGAAAATGATGCTGTCAGTCTAGGTTCTCAATTCTTAGAAGGCTAAAATCTTAAATCTTAAATTGAATGGATATCAAGGGTTTTGTAATTTGAAATTAAAATTAGGTCCCATATACATGTGGCTCTACAAATCCTAAAGAGCTCACTGTTTGAATGATTATTTGCCCTGTGACTGTGAGAGAAACTTTAAGACATTTTGCACTCTATCTCAAGTATTTCTGAGACCAGGAATTTCTCAGGAAGTCACTGAAAAAGGCAGCAGAGCAGAGGGCTAAACTTCTGTGTGATTTCACACTTTTTCATCCAGCTGATGTCACATTTTTTTCTGTTTTCTAGAGAATGGGAGAACTGTGTCCTTGTAAGGAAGAAACAAGAAGTGATGAACAATTTAACTTATATTTATTCTGCTGCCTTTCCTTAGGGTGTTCATAAAGACATGTGGGCTATTACACAATTGAAAATCAAGAGATCAAAAACAGATTGTTTCCCTTGCTACTGTGGCCTCTCTAAATCATTCATATTCTCTCTCACTGTCTGTCAATTTAGTTGTCTGTCTATCTATCTATCTATCCATCCATCTATCTATCTATCTATCTATCTATCTATCTATCTATCTATCTATCAGTTTCTATCTCTATATGTCTCTTAACAATGCTCATAGAAATGCTATTTCACTAAACAGTAAGAAAAATAAAAGTGTACACCAGCACATTATTCCTTTTCTCCCTTCCTCTTTCCCTCCCTTTTTCCTCCTCCTTCTCTTCCTCCCCTTCTTCCTCTTCCTCTTTCTACTCTTTTAAATTTATTCTACTTGAGACACAAGTAATTCTCCCCTATAGTCTCACAAACATTCTTACAATTGTCTACAATTCTCAGGGGACAGTCTCCTTTAGAGTTTGAGGATTATTGAGTAAACATTGTGGCTAACCTCAAAAACCACATGTGCTATACCAATAAACAAATAACCTGTTAGATTCAAAGGCCAGGGAGCAGGCCCAGATATACTGTAAATTGATTTTTCTTCTTTGTCTCAAGATCTACATGAGGTGCATGATAAATATTGGCACTTATACAACCTCAACATTGTGTGCATCATTGTGTGTAAAGACATTTTGGATATGTATTTATATATCAGCATTAATAGCAAAATAATGTTAATATAGAGAGAGCACAGGATACTCAATAGAGTACTCCAAGGCCACTCTAGATAGTCTAGGATAAGCCACTCTGAGACTTAGTTCTTCAACTGGAAAATGATAGTTCCTACATCATAAGATTGTGGGCAGGAAGCTGGATGGTGGTGAAGCATGCCTTTAATTACAGCACTTGGGAGTCAGAGGCAGGTGGATTTCTGAGTTCGAGGCCAGCCTGGTCTACAGAGTGAGTTCCAGGACAGCCAGGGCTATAGAGAGAAACCCTGTCTCAGGAAAAAAAAAAAGATTATGGACAGGATAAAATAAGCGGTTGTAAATTTAAAATCTACAAGCATTTAAAAACATAAAGACTTGATTTCAGGACGAAAGCAAAAAAAAATCAAAGCAATGTTCTTCTCAACAAGCCATTTCCTTCGATTCTGTCATGTCTGTGCATTTATATTCCAAGGAATAAATATCCATATGAAGGATAAATAGGCAGGAAGATTTAGAAAGGAAATGTTCTTTTGATTTAGGTTGCTAATTATATCAAAAGTCTGGAGCCCATTTGTACCTCAGTGGTGAGGGTGACTGTGTCAGTGGTGGGGTTTCTCAGTGTTGGAGGTGTGCTTAGCATGTATAAGGTCCTGAATTCAATAAACTGCACCCTCAAAAATAGAGGCTCCAGTGAAACCGAGTAACCATGTCCAGAATCAATCCCCGAATCGCCTCTCCAGATAGGTGCACATTCCAAAGCGTCATCATCTTTAGTGGGAGAAATTTACTTCAAGAAAACTCTTTACATGTTATATTTATTGTTTTTAAGGAAATGGTGTAGAATGTGACCTTCTAAAATACTACAACTGTGTGTCTCCCATCCTTGGTAAGTGGCTTGACTGATTCTTTTACTTTAAAAGCTTATATTAAATTATTTAGTAATAAGATATGAAATAACACTATGAATATACCCAGAAATGAAAAAATAGCTACATAAAGAATTTTTAGAAGTCCCTTAACACTCACTACATAAAAAGAGAGAGTAAAAGAAAATTCCTTCTGACTCCACGTTATCTCTGAGTTAGAGGCCATGATAACAAAGTACCAGCAAGAGCTCATAGGTTTATTTCCAAATCTTCATGTTGTTTATAACCTCTGCTCTCTATATTATCAAAATTGCCTTGATTTTTTATTGCATTACTGAAACACTTTTACTACTAGATTAAATATTCCAAATTAGTAGAAGAATCATGTAATACTCAGTGAAAGCTTGTTAGTTTGAAAATCATTTATATTTCCTAAGAACCATTCTTTTAGTTAATTACACACATGTGCCACATATAACATTTTTGTATAAATGAACTTATAAACACACGTCTTATTCATTAACGACTTAAATGGATTTATTTTGCCTACAGATTTTCATAGATCCCGATATTATATTCTACGCTTGTATAATTTGATCCATACACATAACTTCATATTTATGTTTGGACATCATTGGTTGCCCTCTTAAAATGTAATATCTTGTATATCTTTATCATATGTTTGTTTCTGTTGTTGGAACATAAGAACTTATCAAAACAACCCAGGGGAGAAAGGATTCACTTTAACTCCCAGTTCCAGCCTATGTACAGTTCAACACTGTGGGAAATCAAGGTGGGAGGAAGCAGGAACCGCTCCTCACATCACATATTACAGCCGCAGTTAAGAGCAAGGAGGAGTGACCTGATGAAAGCACATTTGTTCTCACTTCCTCCACTCCTGCATTTCAAGATCTTGTCAATCATCAGTTGTCAGCCTTTCTAATCCTGTGACCATTAATGCAGGTCTTCATATTGTGGTGGCCCCAAAACCATAAAACTATTTATGTTGCTACTTCATAACTGTAATTTTGCTGCTATTATGAATTTCAATGTAAATATCTGTGTTTTCTGATGACCTTAGTTGACGCCTGTGAATGAATCATTGAAATTCCATAGTGGGTTGCATTATCATGGGTTGATAAACTGTGTCTTAAATTATTTCACCCACAGTTAAGAGTTGTTCTTACCTCAACTACTAGCAAAATAAATAATATACCATAGACATGGCCTCAGCCAACCCTATCTAGAAATCTCTAGTTGAAACTCCCTTCCCAGATGATTTTATGTTTTGTTCAATTGACATAATGAACCTTTATACTCTTCTATGAAAGCCTTCATTCCGAACCCATCCTAGAAATATCTATAAAATTGCAGCAATAGAACTAACATTTTCTTTTAAATTGCTATAAAATATTTCAAGGTCTAGCGAGGAATAGAATTTATGTTTTCTTTATTTTCCAAACTTAATATGCAAATGTTATATTGAAAATGAAAAGAATCAGATTTATGTGGCCAAACTGATGATTTCCTATTGCTGGTGAAAGCTGCAGAGAGAACCCAGGAAAGGAAGTCACACATGCGGCAGTTTGGGGACTTCTGTGGGAAAACAGAATCACAAAGCTGTGTGTGTGAATGTTAGTACAGTGTTTTGAGCATATGAGTGTGTCAGAGCATGTGAACATGAGTGTGGGTATTAGTGTCTGTGTCAGGGACTAGTGGATATGAGTGTAGGAGTGTGTCAGAGTACATGAATGCCAGTGTCTGTATGAAAATAGCAGCTGAGGTTACATGAGTGTGTTGGATCGTGTGTCTGTAGGTGGAGGAATGTATAGTATGAAGGTTAAAAGATGGCAACTTGGTAGACAGAGAATGTTGGGGCCACTTGAAAAGCGAAAGGACCATGGAAAAAGCATCCTTAAGCTAACAGAGTATTTCACATTTACTAAAGATGAGTCTAAAGATAAGTGTAGTTTAGAATTATATCTGTGAGTTCCTCTCAGAATGGCATGGCACACACTGCTCTTCATCCTGGTCTCTCCAAACAGTTGATCTTATATGGAAATAGTCAAGGAGCTTCCTTGACTTTCTCATTCCTAACGAAGATGTGGTGCCCAGTGGCTCGGGGGATCAAGGTTATAACTTTTATATTCTGTCTTGTTGGTTTTGTTAACAGTAAAATATAAGTATTGGTTACTAAGATATTAAGCATACTTAACTACATTTTAAATACAGGGAAGAAATCATGAATTTTATCCTTCCATTGTGGAGTCTTCTATGAGTCCATTGTTCTGGCTTCTGTTTCAGACCACATTGAGCGTAAGGGACTGTGTACGATGGGAACTCACAACTCCAGCTGTCCTGTGCCGTGTGAAGAAACAGAATACCCAGCTACTGCTTCTTATTCTACTTTCCCGAGTCAAAGAGCAACAAAATTTCTTGCCAAGAAATTGAATCAAAGTCAAGAATATATCCGGTAATCAAGCTAGTTTTACAAATTACTCATGATTACTATTAATTTTTCTTTATTGAACACTTGAAGTCTCAGGAAATGACATTGGTGGTCAATTGAAGAAGGCAATGCAGATGTCCTTGAGCTAATGACAACAACAACAACAACAAAAACAATAGGAATTTAAAACCAGGTAGAATCATACTTTTTCAATTCTTATTTTAGCTTTTAAACAAAATCATATGATACTGACTGAAGACATTTATTCATGATTTTCCCTTCACTGACCTGACTGGAAAAATTATGAAAGCTAGCTAATATTAGCTAATCTTTAAAGTACAATAAGCCTTTACCTGTACACTCTGCTTTGAGTCTCCAAATAACAACATAAGTGAAGAAGAAATTATTTTCATCTTACTGCAGTGAACTGAAGTTCATTGAGTTTTAAATAACTGACTACCAAGGTATTCAATGATGTGGAGGGAACTTGGTCTCAGTTTCAATGACATGAGATTCCAACTCCAAAACTTAGTGCCAGATTAGTTTCCTCTTTTCCACACCATGTTGCTCCTGGGAAATTAAAAAGGCAAAGGTGTAATGAAATTTTAGTGTCTTTTAGAGGAAGGAAACCAAACATATCTCCTTTAAAAATATATGTTGTCATATTTTAGTAGCAAACTTCCAAGACTGGCATAGACAGAGAACAAGAAAAGTCCACACCTACCTGAAATATGCAACTAGAAATGAATAATGGAAAGAAGGGACCTGGAACTATTGTATGGTAACAATGCTACAAATAGTGGCTAGTGGCCATCAACAAAGACTTCAGATGGTGTGTTCTCCAAAAGAACCTATAGCAAGCTTATTCCTCACTGTTACAAAAAGAAACTGCTGAGACTTATCCAACTGACAAATGCTGATTGGCATCCTTGTTGTGCTTTCCTGAGTTTATATTAATAATACACACACACACACACACACACACAGACAAATGCCAGAATCTAATTCTTGCCCATATTTTTCTACTTGGAATAATATACTTAGATATATTATTGACTCCACAAGGTGGGAAATCAAGCCTTCAGAATTATTAATAACAAGAAAAGAAGCCCTTTGTTTGGATGAACCATTTCCCAGCACAGTGTATTGTGAAGCAAGCTCTCTCTCCATGCATGTAGGGTGCTCACTGGGTATCTTTGAATGTAACTGTTACATAGCACACAGGTTGTTACTCTTAGACAGCTCAAGCATGTAGGCTTTGCAACCCTCACAGGAAGTACCAGGAAACAAGGACAGTGTTCCAAAGGTGCAGAGCTGTTCTGAGGTACTGAGCAATATTTTAATAAGAGGTTGGAAAGAGAGTCTTCAAAACAGAAGGTGTAATACATCTGTTTTACAAGTGGTCAGGCTACGAAACCTGTAATAAGTTTTGGTCTCCACTCTAGGGAACCCCCTTGCCAGGCTTTAGGGACAGTTATCCCGGTATTTTACCAACAGGCACTTTAGAACCATAGCCTAGAAAGCTAAGGGTGTGTGGGGGTGTTTTCAGTTATGTTTATAGACTTAGGATCTGAACCAGCAGTAGCAGTATGTTGGTATTAGTACTTACAACTATTAAAATAAAAAATACATTACCTGAGTTAAAGTTCACTGATACTTGCATGGCCAACTATCTAACTGAAATCATGTTTTGATTCAGTTTACCTTAGATTTTGTTTTTAAAATGTTTTTAAAATCCTTATATAAAATCGTAGGCAATATCTCTACTAATCAAAAATTTTTAAAAAAGCATTTCAAAAGGACAGGCCTTCTGAATTATAAATCACAACACATACTAAATTAAAAAAAAGGCAAAAAAATCATAGTTATATATTTTTTAAATACAGACATCTGTGTTCGTTTAAATAGGGAAAACTGTTCTGAGTATAGTGTTACACCGATATCTTCAGATATTGTTTTAGAAGACCACTTTTAATGTCTCCTGAGTTTAGAATTATTTTATTTGTAAGATATACAGGTATGGTACTGGATATATACTGGTGAATTAGAAATATAATCCACATAAATATACATCATTATCTATTTCCTTTTCTAACCCACGATTATTACTAATAATCCTTTTTAATTAACATGGCAGTGACCTTGTGTGGTTGGGACTAGTGGAAGCTATGACCAGAATAAAAAAGCAAGCAGCAGAACAAATGTGTCCAGACGCAGGAGTTGTCAGACACAGCTAGCTAAATGTTAGAAGGATTCTACCGTAGCATCAGGAAACATATGCCAGATAGCATCTATGGAATTAGCAATAAGATGGAAAGAAAAGCAACCCCTCCGCTAATCACGAATCACGCTATATATTTATTCCTGGAGCAGAAATGAACTGCAGCTTGTGGCTGTCCCAGTGCTCCAAGCAGCTATTGCAGAGAACTATTGTGTAGATGAAGGCGAGTTTAACTGAGGAAGGCCACAGTGTACCAGGGAGTCCACGTTTATTTGTAACAGAGTTTGATCAAATTATATTGGTTATGAAAGTGGGTGTTTTAAATTGTTCTATTAGTGAATTTCTGAAATAAAAGTTGTACAGAGTGGTTTGTTTTATGTATGCCTAGGCTATCCCTTCTAATGCTGTACTAATGCCCAAGCCCCTAGAGGTTAGTAATATAGAACATAATCAGTTTTCGTTTATCTCTTTGCTGTTATTAAAACCAATTTTATTTTATAACAATGTTTTTACTAAAACAAGCAAGTGTTCTTGTACATAATAGAATGATTTTATTATTATCCTGAGTCTCAATTGCAAAGGCCCACACAGGTGGATGAGTCAACTAACAGAGAAAAGCTGCATAAATATCACAGTATTTGTGTAGAAGAGGAATTTATCATCTCCAGAAAACACAGATGGATAGTCTCTGTAAATGATCATTAATGTTTATCTAGGAAAGTCAAACAATATTATCAGTGTGCACGCAAATTAAGAGCACAGTAGAGAACACAAAGATTAGAATGTTACTAAAATTTCTGAATTCCCGTGACAACATTGTTACTTCTTTACTTTGGTAACTGTTTCATCACTTGTAAATATTACAACCTCCAATGAGGAGCTGTGTAACTATTGTGCATTTTTCTGTTACAGGGCATTAGAATTAATAAAAATCGACTACACACATTAATGGGGCATTTTTAATTAAGTACATTAGAGTATTGATTCCCCAGACTGTAACCAATAAGGAATGTGGTTTATATCCATGTGTGTTAGCTATGTTGGAAAATGCTATGCTATTTCAGGAAACGTTGTTAATAGGGTTCATTCACCATTAAAATTCTTATTGCCATCTGAAGATCATGTGGTAATTGGTTTCAAGTTCAGTTTACAGCACGAACAGATTAATATTTAGCCACAGATTTGTTGGTTTCATCTTTAAGTTGTTGCAATTTTAGCAAATATACAATGAGCATGTATTGGGTGTTTGGATTCAATGGCTCGGATAGGCATGGGAATGCCTTGATGGATAAAACAAAAAAGCCATGCCTTGTTGCATATATTTTACCCTGGAGAGCATGGATGACAGGTATGTAAGTCATATTAAGTAATGTTATATGCTGTAACAGAAGAGACAGATAAAAAATCATCTAGAGAAGCCAGAGTAAAAAAGATTGTGTGTGGACTGTGAGTGGAAATGACATTAAGCAGAAGTGAGCAGAACTCTGCAAAAGTCCATGCAGATTTTTCACTAACAGTGCCACAGGAGTCCTGATTTAGCAGGTTGAAGAATTATTGACTATGGTGTGAAGAACAGAGGGTATTTGCTGAGGTGGAGTACCTCAAATTGAAGCATAATCTCCAGCCAGACAACTGCTATAGAGCCCCTGTGAGATTATTATGTGTTGGGTGACAGTGAGAAGAATAGGGTGTGAAGCAGTGGGTGTGTGTGAGGCAATGAGTATGAGGAAGTGGGTGTGAGGCAATGAGTATGAGGCAGTGGGTGTGAGGCAATGGGTGTGAGGCAGTGAGTGCGAGGCAGTAAGTGTGAGGCAGTGAGTATGAGGCGGTGGGTGAGAGGCAGTAGATGTGAGGCAATGTGTGTGAGGTAGTGTGAGGCAGTGAGTGTGAGGCCGTGGGTGTGAGGCAGTAAGTGTGAGGCAGTGAGTGTAAGGCAGTGAGTGTGAGTCAGTAAGTGTGAGTCAGTGGGTGTGAGGCAGTAAGTGTGAGACAGTAAGTGTGAGGCAGTGAATGTGAGACAGTAAGTGTGAGGCAGTGAGTGTGAGGCAGTGAGTGTGAGTCAGTAAGTGTGAGGCAGGGAATGTGAGGCAGTGAGTATGAGGCGATGGGTGTGAGGCAGTAGATGTGAGGCAATGTGTGTCAGGCAGTGTGAGTCAGTGAGTGTGAGGCAGTAAGTACAAGTGAGTGTGAGGCGGTGAGTGTAAGGCAGTGGGTGTGAGGCAGTGGGTGTGAAGCAGTGGGTGTGAGACAGTAAGTGTGAAGAAATGGGTGTGAGGCAATGGTTGTGAGGAAGTGGGTGTGATGCAGTGGGTGTGAAGCAGTGGGTGTGAGGCAGTGGGTGTGAGGCAGTGGGTGTGAGGCAGTGGGTATGAAGCAGTGGGTGTGAGGCAGTGGGTATGAGGCAGTGGGCATGAGGCAGTGGGCATGAGGCAGTGAGCGTGAGGCAGTGGGTGTGAGGCAGTGGGTGTGAGGCAGTGAGTGTGAGGCACTGGGTGTGAGGCAGTGGGTGTGAGGCAGTGGGTGTGAATCAATGAGACTCTATGTACATGCTGATGAGTCCACACACAGAATTTCCTGTTACACTGGTTAGCAGTGCCAAATGGAAAATAGCAAGAGGTTCACTTGGAATGTGTTGGAATGTATTAAGTTATTAGACAAGCAAGTGGAATCGTCAAAAGTCAGTCAAATATATAACTGGAATTTAAGGTAGTGGTCTAGGTAGAGAGAAGAGAATATTGTGGTCTCCGACCATGAAAAAAATCATGGTTTTAAGATGGCATTGAGCCACTCTGACACATGTAAAGATCTATAGAGGACATTAAGAAAATAAAGTTTTTGTTCAAGTATGTCAACAATAAACAAGAAATGACATTTATCAATAGGAGAGCTGGTTCATATTTATTCTGGTTGATATTTAATTTCTCACTAAATCTTGTAAGCTGAGCTCTATCAAACCTCAGACAAGGAAACAACACTTCTCCAGGATCAGCTAAGTAACTTGGAAAAGTCAAGACTAGAATAAAATTATAGTCCAAAAGTTTGTAAATGTGTTGGACGACAGTTAGATAAGCACATTTGCTGTCTTCAGTTTCTCAAGAATGAGGCATAGAAACTTTATGAGGTGTTGGGGGAATGGGTGGTTTTGGTTTTGTGCATGCGTGTGTGTGTGAGTGCGTATGAGTGTGTGTGTGTGTGTGTGTGTGTGTGTGTGAGTGTGTGTGTTTTCTAAATATCACCATGGCAAGATAATGCTAGTGGGATTAACACTGAGCAAGCACATGCTGGTCTAATGCAAGGTTAAATGGTCCCTGAGTCTAAAATGAGCATGAAAAGCTGAGGTAAAACTTGAAGGCCTTGTTCATTCTGTTTTTATCCCCAGGGAGAATCTTGTGAACATTGAGATAAACTATAGCGACTTAAACTATAAGATAACGCAGCAACAAAAGGCAGTGAGTGTGCCCGAGTTACTTGGTAAGTGTGTTAACTCCTTCCTCAGCTCCCCTTGTCAGACTGTTCTGTACAGGGCTCAGGCTCTCAGTGGAGGAAGAAGAGTCAATTGCCCGTGTCTCCTACCAGTGTTTATTCTCCCTAGGAAACACTGGTCACTGGAACTCCATTACACAGGATTTTACCAAAGCAGATGTGGATCTCGAGTTTCACTTGCAGTTGCTTTCCCTTCGAGCTGCCCATCATGACATACATATATACATATGTATATATCCACACGTGTATATATCCATATTCATATACATACACACACACACACACACACACACACACACACACACATATCCTATGTGACTACTGTACAGTATTTTACCTCTTAATTTGACCAAGGGTTTCATCCCAGGGAGAAATAAAGTGGTCCTAAGCAATCAGTATTATTCATTTCCTTTACAATCACTCTCAGCTTCTGCTATTGCAACATGGAGTCTTTAACAAACTACTGGCTTCCTAGATGCAATTACACACTCAAGGAAGACACACAGGAGTCAGAGAAGAGCATTAGATCCAGGAATAAGCCTAGTCAGATCAAGCAGCTGAGAGTTGGGTAGCGATGTATTATCCAATTTCTTCAAAGCTCGGGTGGAAAACACACTTCTATAGCACATTTAGCAAACACCACTTTTCTAAGGATGAGTCCAGGCAGACTATTAATAAAGTAATCATCTTTAGTAGTCAGTACTAGAACAGAGACACCTATAGGGGAAAGCAAAAGGGAGATGGCTGGGGTCTTGATGATGGAGGGAATTAGGAGGTTATTCTCAACAGAGTTTTTCTGGAGAATGTGAAAAAGTTTTAGAGATGGTCATGTTGAAGGTCAAAAACTGAGTGCTCTTAGTGCCTTAGAAGCACACACTTACAAACTGTTCAGATGTAAATGTTGTGAGTGTCAATGTAGGTTAAAAACATGTCTTAAAATGCAGTGTTTGAAATATATATTTTGGTGAAATAATCCATTATAATGTATAATATAAAATATAATTAGGATACTAGCAGAGCCATATGCATGAAAATTGTCTTCTTGGAAAACAGCATAATCCTGTAAGACCATTTGGTACCAACTTCAAGTTCTGCTTAGCATTTCATGAGTGCACATTACATTGTAGTTAAAATTTTCACCTAGAATTCTAGTCTTCCAAAAGTTAAATCAATTATTGAAAACAGTTTCATACATCTCTTTTTGGATATGATTTGTTTGACTATTATTGTCAGGTATTATTAGTATGTATTATTTTATTTATACTAAATTTGAAAATAATATGAATTAAGTATCTTCACATATCAATTGTAATCAAATTATTGGATTGAAATGTTACATATGATAACAATATTTACTTTTTGTTGTATAAAATGTAATTTCTTTATGAATTTTTATTACAGCAGATGTTGGTGGTCAGCTGGGTCTATTTTGTGGAGCTAGTTTGATTACAATTATAGAAATTATTGAATATGTATTCACCAATTTCTACTGGATATTCATTTTCTTTTTGCTGAAAATACTTGAAATGATCCAGCGGACTTCTCCACCTCAGACTGTTTAGAAGAATATGAATATTCTATTAGAATAAAAGTGTTGGTTTTCTTTTCACACTACCTATGATAATTATGGCTTATTCATTGTTATGAGACTTTATGTCATAGTTTGAAAACTCTAATAAAATCATTGAAAATTACCATTTCTATATATACACTTCTCTGTCTGTATTGTTTAATATATTCTGTATTGTCTATTTTTTCTATTGTAGCCTCAGCACTTAAAGTAGTAACACTTACATTGGTAGGCATCTTTTAATCTACCTTCTTGTAATAATTAATGGAAAAATCTTTATATCTAAGTATGTTAATCACATCCAATGAACTGTGATTAATATGTGAATTGATGGCTGTGGTTAATGTCTACCCACCACAACCTAGAATCACCTGGAATAGAGTAGCCATTCTTAATTTGTGGGCCACAAATGCCTTTGTTAAAATCAAATGACCCTTTCACAGGTGTCACCTAAAATCACTGGACAACACAGATATTTACATTATGATCATAACAGTAGCAAAACTATACTTATGAAGCAGCAGTGTGGATAATCTTATGTTTGGGGGTCACCGCAACATGAGGAACTATATTAAAGAGTCAAAGCATTAAGAGGCTGAGAGCCACTGGAATAGGGCCTTAGCTGACAAATTATGTAGTTCAGGTTGGCTCATGGGTGTATCTGTGGGGATTGTCTTGTTTTTCAATTGACTTAACTCAGTGTAGGCAGCATCATTCCATAGGGAATGCCCTGAACTGCATGAGAGTGGAGGAAGCTGCTTAAGTCAGCAAGCAGGCAAGCTAGATGCCTGCCCGTCCTCAGCCTGTTCTTCCTGCCTTGACTTCCACTCAGAAGTGGACTGTGATCTGGGATTTTTAAGTCAAACAAACCATTTTTTTAGTTGCTTTTCATGATGGAATTTTCATCATAGGAACAAAACCAAGCTAGAACAACAGAGTCTCATACAATTGTCCATTTAGTAAATATAATTCATGCTTTATGAACTTTCTCAGAGGTTTTATTTTCATTAAATCATATTATTTTTCTTCTTTCATCTGGAAAGTTTTATTGTAACTGACTTGAAGGGGCAGGAGTCTATATTTTCTGTACAGGTAGATTCATAAAATAAATTGAAAATGGACCGAATCTGTGGTACAGAGGGACTACACAGCACCTTAGCATTTCCCTCCAGCTACTTCTATGTATTTATTTAATCTAGACAGAAATTCAATTGCGCCACTGATTATGCTTTAGGCAATCACCTACATTCAGCTTCGCAGAATCTTCATTCAATGGTGAATTGCTAAAGAGCCTTCTTGAACACAGTGAACAATGCTCAAGACAAAGAGCTCGAAGTCCAGTGCTGTTGGTACAGTTAGTCTGTGTTTACCATGTCTGAGGACCTGAGTTCAGTCTCCAGCAGGAACAAAATGAATCTAATTCCAGTTCTTCCTGTATCATTTTGTTTGGTCACATCTCCTTCCTGACCACGTGGCATCTCTCTTTCTTGCTGAGGTAATTAATTAAGAGAGCAATGTTCTGAGAACTAATACCTCCTGACATGGAAGACACTGTTCAGAATGAACATTGATGACCAATTGTTTACACTAGTGCCCAGCATCCAGACAGTTCCGCTGGCATTTCAGTGTAGGAGTGATATCTATTTGGGAATTAGTGGTGAGAAGATAAAATATTTGTCCTTGGAAATGAAAGTTTTAAATGTTACCTAGAGAAAAGTTGAATAACCTCCTAGAGCGTTGTGAAATCTGTGGTGTGAGCAACCCTAGTGAATGATTACAGTGACGAGCCACCCTGAAATGATGTAGCTTTGACTCAAACAGAAGTGGATACGATAACAAAATCAATCACCGAGCACCTTCTTATCAAGAAGGGACAGGCCATATAACAGCTGCAGTCTGTAGTTTACCTTCTCAGCATGTGTGCATAGAAATAAAGGGCAAAACATCGTAGTTCACCCAAGGACAAACTTGTACGAAAGGAAAACAAGATAAATAATAAGGAACATTGGAGAAAAAAATACTAAAAGTGATGAAACTTATGAGAGGGTTGGAAAAGCATGGGAGTGAGAAAAAGCTGGCAAGAGTTCCCCGTGACAGATACAGTGACTTCGCAAAGGGACTCCCTTTAAAGATCCTGAAGAATCTCAGCTAGAGTGCAGAACATTCCTTGCCTCCCACCCCCAGATGAGTTTTGTAACAGTGACACAAAAGTTGGGGAGGAGGGAATTAGATACAGATACTGAGTATTCTCTTCTCTGAAGTTGGCATATAACCTGCCACAGTTATTGCTAACATTCAACAAGCTAGTAGTTATGAATAAACCAGTGAGTTTAGCCTTACCGAGAAGCAAAGGCCACTTCTGAAAATCCAAACAGAAGTTGGATGGTGCAGAGCTGGTAGAGTTGGTTTTCAGAGCTAAAAACTAAGTGAACACTGCAGGTTATAAAGCAAGAGATGCTTGAGGACAAGGATAGCAGTTATAACCAAGCCTGGTGGAAGAACACACTAGCTGTTTGGGCACAGGGAGGATGGCAGTTATAACCAAGCCTGGTGGAAGAACACACTAGCTGTTTGGGCACAGGACTTTACTGTCACTGTCAAAGAATCTCCGTCATGTTTCATTTTTTCTCATTCTCCACCATTATCTTCCTACCCCGTGACTTCATCCCTGGAATGACAACAATCTCTAAGGACACCACACTGCTCCTTAGCTAACTATATTATGAGGTACAGTTCTGGAAAGTAATTTTTAAAATAATTCCACTTTTGTGTTATTTTTCTACTTTTAATTCAATACATTTCACTGTCTTCTGATCTCTTACAAGCTAATCACATCATATCTTAAGCACCATTTTAGCTATTTCTTAAACATAGTTATGCAGGGTAGTTTGTCAGGACAGTATACACTTTAATGTTTTATTCATTTCTCCTATTTTCAGAATAATCTCCTCATGAAAATGTCTAAATTTCCCTGACTTTGAAGGTATTCTGTGATAAATGTCTCTCACTTTCTCTAATCACAATTTAAATAGTTTGTATCTAAATGTAAAACATTTGAGCAATAGGAAACATTTACTTACACTAACACAATGTATCTGCAAATTTAACTAGACACTTGGATATATTTTATGTAAAACTTAACATAGAAAACTATATGCGTGTAATCTCCACTTTCTTTTTTGAATATTAAATGTTTCCGAAAATGGCAAATTCATATTAAGAATGAAATGAAACGAGGTTGGAGAGATGGATCAGAGGTTAAGCTGCTTAAGCTGCTCTTTCAGAGGTCCTGAGTTTAATTTTCAGCAATCACATGGTAGCTCACAATCATCTATAATGGGATCTGGTGCCCTCTTCTGGCTTGCAGGCATACATGCAGGCAGAACACTATAGACACAACAAATAAATAGAAAAAAATTTAAAAAAAAAAAAAGAATGAAATTAAATGAACATTTATATATTCACTATTCAGTTTTAACTTAATGAACATTATTTGGATTATTTCATTCATATTTTCATCCACTGAGTTATGTATTCTTATTGTTTTTAATTCAATATTTATGCCCATAGATTAGAGGTACTTCCAGTCTTGGCCAGAGGAGCCTCTTTTGCTGTGAGAAACAGCACAGAGATTCATAGCTCTTATCAAAGCGCTGTTATAATGGACTGTTGGTAGCACAGCACTAAATGTGACATCCATTTCAACTTCCTCACTCTCCA